AGCATGAGGGGGCCCGGTATGGGGGCCCAGGGAAAGTTTTGGGGGCCGGGCAGCAGCTATGGGGGCCTGTAATCTGCCAGCACCCTTTGTCAAAAAATCTTCAAACACCTAGCAGTGTGAGGAGACCTGAAAGTGGCTACATGGCATGAGACACTGTGGACTCATGGCAGCAGCTGAGAGGGAGGCGGGGTACAGGGGCCCATGGACATTAGGGGCCTGGCAGCAGTATGGGAGGACCGTAATCTTGCCAGCGCACCTCTATGTCAAAAAAATGAACACACCTGCCTGTGTGTGAGGAGACTGAATGTGGCTTATGGCAGCAGTGTGGCGATGGAGACGCAGCAATGGGAGGCCGTACAGGGACCCATGAGAGACTTGGTACCTGGCAGCAGCATGTGGAGGCGGTATTAGGAGGACCATGGCAGATTTGGGGACCTGGGCAATGCAGTATAGAGGCCCGGAATCTGCCAGCACCCTATGACAAAAAAAATGGTAACACACCAGCATGATTTGTGAGAGACCTGAAAGTGGCACATGGGCAGAGTGTGGGCGATGGAGACTGCAGCAATGGGAGGCCGTACCAGGGACCCATGAGAGACTCTGGACCTGGCAGCAGGCTATGAGGAGGCGGGTTAATAGGGCACCATGGCAGATTACACAGGCCTTGGCAGCAGCTAATTGGATGGCCCGTAATCTGCCAGCACCCTATGACAAAAAATGTAACACACCAGCAGTGTGAGGAGACCTGAAAGTGGCACATGGCAGAGTGTGGCGATGGAGACAGCAGCAATGGGAGGCCGTACAGGGACCCATGAGAGACTCTGGACCTGGCAAGCAGCATTGAGGAGGCGGTACAGGGGCCCATGGCAGATTAGTGGCCTGGCAGCAGCTATGGGAGGCCCGTAATCTCTGCCAGCACCCTATGACAAAAAATGGAACACACCAGCAGTGTGAGGAGACCTGAAAGTGGCACATGGCAGGGGCATGATCATGGCGGATTTAGTCAGTTGTGGCAGCAGCAGGAACTGGTGGGAAAATCCAGACTAATCCACAGCCTGATTCATTTTCACATGAACGAAAAGAGTCTCTCCACACTTTGGGTGGACAGTGTGTTGAATTCCTCCGCGGAGTTACAATACCTCCTGCCGCACTAAACACGCGCTCCGATGCCCCGCTACTGGCCGGCATGACAGCCTTTCAAGGGCAAATTCAGCTAGTTGGGGCCAAAGGTCAAGTTTCGTTGCCCAGTAGCTCAAGGGGATTGTCTACCTCGGTTGGCAGGGTGCTGTCCAAGTAGGCCCAAGCCTGGTGTTTGAGGTCCTGCTCCAGGTCCACCTGATGCTGGCTGCTGCTGCTGCGGCTGGTTAGTAGTTTTTCCTCACTGCGCTGGTGAAGAAAGCTACTCATCATCGACTGCAGACTGAGGCAAGCCGCTGCTGGTGGAGCTGCCACTGCTCCTACCACCCCACCCCTCCCCTGCTGCCATGGCAGCGGAACGCGAGCGCACAGGGCCCACAGTGTCTGAGGATGGACGTTGGCGCAGAAAGGCAGAGACCACTGACTACATAGGTTGGTTTTTTATAGTACGTTATTTTGGCCTCCCTCTCAGCAGGTGTGAAAAAGGCCACCATTTTTGAACGGTAGTCGCGAGGGTCCAACAAGGTGGACAGCCAAAAGTCATCCCTCTGTCTGATGGTTATTATTCGGCTGTCGCTACGCAAGCAACCGAGCATGCTATGGGCCATTTGTGCCAAGGAATGCGAGGGACTCCCTGCCTCCATCTCCACAGCATACTGCCACGGTTGCGTCTGGGTCCTCTGTCTCCTCCTCCTCCTCCTCCTCTACCAGATGCTCCTGCTGCCTCCACTCCTGTCCGCTGAGTGAAAAACCACCCATTTCACTCAATAATACCTGAGCACCAATGTCCTCCTCTACCTCCCTCCTCTTCTTCCTGTCCTGCCCCCACAGGGGTCATGTGGCGTTGAGATCATATGCGCCACGTCTACCGCAATCCCTGACCAGCCATTGTTAACAGCATTTGTTCCAGGACCGTGCAACAGAGGAATGACGTCGTTCATCCCATAGTCCTGGCGACTCACGAATAGCGTGGGCCTCCTCAAAGGGCCTGAGCAAGCGGCAGGTGTCACGCATGAGCTGCCAATGGCTGACATCGAAGGTTACACCAGGGGAGTACCTTTATCCGCTTGTAACATCAGGAAATCGGTGATGGCCTTTCGCTGTTCGTAAAGGCGGTCTAACATGTGTAGGGTTTGAATTCCACCTTGTTGCAACGTCGCAGATCAGGCGATGCTGTGGAATTCCGTTCTGCCGCTGCAGCTCAAGGAGGGTGTGCTTTGCGGTGTAGGAATGGCTGAAATGCATGCAAAGTTTACGTGACATTTTAAGGATGTCTTGCAGTGGGATGGTGAATTTTAGGAACCGCTTGACAACCAGATTGAACACGTGAACCATGCATGGCACATGGCACAACCTTCCTTGACGCAGAGCAGACACCATGTTCTTTTCCGTTGTCGGTCAACATGGTTCCGATTTTCAGTTTGCGCGGAGACAGCCATCTGCGATTTCTCTGTTCATTACACTGAGAAGTTCCTCCCCTGTGTGACTACGTTCGCCAAGGCATACCAGGTGCAGCACAGCGTGACACCGTTGCGCCCTGCACATGTGATATGCCGGTCGGGTAATGGGACTTGGCACGGGGTGGCGGCTGAGGACACGAAGGAAGAAGAGGTGGTAGAGGCGACATCTTTTGTGGACCAAGGACGTGCAAACGTGGAGGCAAAAGCGGCGTGACCTGTCCAAGTTGCTGGTGCGGCTGTGACGGCACCACGTTCACCCAGTGGGCCGTAAATGACATGTACTGTCCCTGACCGTAGTTACAGCTCCACACATCGGCGCTGCCGTGCACTTTGGCAGAGACCGACATGCTCAAAGACTGGCCCACCATCTCTTCTACATGTGAATGCAGGGCTGGCACTGCCTTTTTGGCGAAGAAATGATGGCTTGGCACTCTCCACCGCGGCGCGGCACAAGCCATCATTTCTCGGAAAGGTGCTGAGTCCACCACTTGGAAAGGGAGGGACTGCAGCACCAGCAACTTGGACAGGAGGACGTTCAGCTTTTGCACCATCGGGTGCGTGCTCGCAAACTGTTGTCTCTTGGAAACGGATTCCAAGAAAGACTGCTGACGGAATCCGTGAAGAGGAGTAGCAGGAGAAGGAGCATCTGAACGAGCGGAAGATGGCAACGAGCGACAACTCCCCTCAGCAGAGGTGTTGGAGCCTTGACTGGCTGATAGAGGGCGATTGACGTCGGTGACGGAGCAAGTAACGGAGCGGGTGATGGAGCGGGGGCTGGGGCGGGCAGAACCGCCGTATCTTTATCACGGTTTTCCCAGGCCACCAAATGGCGACGCTGCATATGCTGCCGCAACGCTGTAGTCCCAACATGGGCCCCCTGGCCACGCTTGACTTTCTGGCCACATAGTCGACATACGGCTACGTTTACTTCCTCGGGCGGCTTGACAAAAAATTGCCACACCGCCGAGTAGGAAACTTTGCCCCCGATACTCCTCACTGGCTGACTGCTGCTTCCTCCGTGCACACCGGCACCACTACTGGCCGTGGTGGTAGGCTGCAGTGGAGCTGGTGCTGTACTCCGTGGCCGTTGCCTCCACTGACACTGCTGCTGCGACCCTGCTGCCTCCTGGGCAACCCACCGACTGTTTTGCTCGCTGCTGCAAGCTGCCACCCTCTTCTCCTGATGATGCGGAAGCAATAGCCTGATGACGACGAGGCTGCCAAGTGCGATCAGCCTCATCATCATCAATTAGGGTCTCCGCCTCACTACTAGCCCCCTCGGCTGCGTGTGGGTCAGGAGACAGACCTGTCTCTAGACCGGCTACCGAGCCACTCTCCTCGCCACTACTTCTTCGCCTGGCTGCTGAAGAGGCGGATGTCTCCCCCCCCCGTTCCTGACCGCCCTCTGTTAGCTCTTCCTCACTGTACAGTGGGGCTGAGCCCACAGCATGCGATACTTCGCTTGGTGAGGGAACACCAAAGGACAGGGGCAGGTAGAGGACACGTGATTTCAGTGGGCTTGCTCCCGGGCCATGCCAACTAACGGTTGTGTCTGACGACCCACCGACCGTTGGCTGTAGGTGTCAGAGGTGACCTGGGAAGAGGAAGACGACCGAGCCAACCAATCGATGACGGCAGGGTTGTCGGTGGAGACACGACCGCTGGATGACACCGGGAGCACTGGCCTCTGGCTGCGAATAGTGCTGCCTCGACCCCTTCCTCTGCTGCCACGTCTGCTCGCTCCTAAAACATTGCCTCCTCTGCCACTCCTCTGCATGTTGTCTGACATACTCTTTAATTAAACGATTCTGTGTCCCTGAGTAACAATTCTGTGTCTGTCCCTGAGTAACAATTCTGTGTCCCTGAGTAACGTTTCTGTGGCCCTAAGTAACAGTTCTGTGGCCCTCAGTAACAATTCTGTGTCCCTCAGTAACAATTCTGTGTCCCTCAGTAACAATTCTGTGTCCCTCAGTAACAATTCTGTGTCTGTCCCTCAGTAACAATTCTGTGTCTGTCCCTGAGTAACAATTCTGTGTCTGTCCCTGAGTAACAATTCTGTGTCCCTGAGTAACAATTATGTGTCCCTCAGTAACAATTCTGTGTCCCTCAGTAACAATTCTGTGTCCCTGAGTAACAATTCTGTGTCCCTGAGTAACAATTCTGTGTCCCTCAGTAACAATTCTGTGTCCCTCAGTAACAATTCTGTGTCCCTGAGTAACAATTCTGTGTCCCTAAGTAACAATTTCTGTGGCCCTAAGTAACGGTTCTGTGGCCCTCAGTAACAAATTCTGTGTCCCTCAGTAACAATTCTGTGTCCCCTGAGTAACAATTCTGTGTCCCTAAGTAACGTTTCTGTGGCCCTAAGTAACGTTTCTGTGGCCCTAAGTAACGAATTCTGTGGCCCTAAGTAACGTTTCTGTAGCCCTAAGTAACGTTTCTGTGGCCCTAAGTAACAGTTCTGTGGCCCTCAGTAACAATTCTGTGGCCCTCAGTAACAATTCTGTGTCCCTCAGTAACAATTCTGTGTCTGTCCCTGAGTAACAATTCTGTGTCCCTAAGTAACGTTTCTGTGTCCCTAAGTAACGTTTCTGTGGCCCTAAGTAACGATTCTGTGTGGCCCTAAGTAACGATTCTGTGGCCCTAAGTAACAATTTCTGTAGCCCTAAGTAACGTTTCTGTGGCCCTAAGTAACGTTTCTGTGGCCCTAAGTAACAGTTCTGTGGCCCTCAGTAACAGTTCTGTGGCCCTCACTAACAGTTCTGTGGCCCTCAGTAACAAATTCTGTGTCCCTCAGTAACAATTCTGTGTCTGTCCCTGAGTAACAATTCTGTGTCCCTAAGTAACGTTTCTGTTTTCTGTGGCCCTAAGTAACGGTTCTGTGGCCCTCAGTAACAATTCTGTGTCCCTCAGTAACAATTCTGTGTCTGTCCCTAAGTAACAATTCTGTGGCCCTAAGTAACGTTTCTGTGGCCCTAAGTAACGTTTCTGTGGCCCTAAGTAACGTTTCTGTGTCCCTCAGTAACAATTCTGTATCCCTCCTCAGTAACAATTCTGTGTCTGTCCCTGAGTAACAATTCTGTGTCCCTAAGTAACAATTCTGTGGCCCTAAGTAAAGTTTCTGTGGCCCTAAGTAACGTTTCTGTGGCCCTAAGTAACGATTCTGTGGCCCTAAGTAACGATTCTGTGGCCCCTAAGTAACGTTTCTGTGGCCCTAAGTAACGGTTCTGTGGCCCTCAGTAACAAT